TGACGGGAATAACTGCAATGGGTAACTACAAAACACTGATGGCCTCAACTCCATACTGCTATCAGCGGCCTTCACACTTCCATCAGATACTTAAAAAAGAAAGATATATTGGCAGTAAAACCAGAAATATACCCAGCAAATACAGATGAAGCTGTGAACAAAAGCAGAAATATTGGTATATAGTCTAGTATTATCAATATTTATACAGAAAACAGGAAACACCTAACCAAGGAGCACTATTATAATCAAGAAGGGCAAAGAAGGGCAAAGGCAACACTAAAGAGTTGAGAGGAAAAGCAACCAACCATACAACATTCCAAGTGAAAAAAAAATATCTCTCTTGCGAAAAAGATATTTAGCACAGCAGAGAACTAGAAAGTAAATAACATCAGAAAATCAAAAAGAAATTAAGGCAGCAGGGGGCTTCACAATACAGTAAGATAATAAAAGGCATCAGTGTTACACTTTGCATTATACAAAGACAGCTGGGGGGAGGGGGTGTCAAGTAAGGAAAAAAATGCCCCAAAAAGAAAGGTAAAAAACAGTCTCAGAGGAAGTGATGGTCCCATTTCCAGTTACATTCAAAAAAACCCAAGAAATACAGCATGGGTATTCAAGAGGGAAGCCAACATGCTGCTCAGAAGCTGCGAGGATAATGAGACACAACAGTGACAGAGATGTTATACTGCTCTTCTTAAAGACCCTCAGTATGAACAGATCCTCCCAGCTAGCCAAACTGATTGTAGCCCTACTCCTCTTTTCTTTGCTTCCTGTGGCTACAGCCCAACAACAGAATTTAGTGAGACTAGGTAAGCACTCTTGTTGAGGTTCCCATTCCTGCACAACAGTACATATACACCAAACCAAGCAAGTCCTGAACTGGCTTCAAAAGATGCACTGGCCTTTCAACCGTTGCAACTATCAACATTAGTATCTGCCAAAGAAGAATTTTTTATTTTTTTTTTAATTCAGAAGCTAACAAATGAAGCACTGGAAGAAGACTTAGCACATCTACATAGCTGAGCAGCATGACAGATGAGATCAGAATTCCAGATTTCTGGCTTCTCTTTCTATACTTCAATCACTGCTGACCTACATTACCTTTGTATTTCTCACCTGCTTCTAGTTTCCTAACTATTTTGATCTGTAAGGTAATATGGTTGTTTTGCTTCCTGTTCACTTCCCTGCAGAGTTAAAACTAAAAAAAAAAAAAAAAGCTACTACTTTGTGACAAAAAAAAGCCACACCTTTCTTTACCTTGGTTAATGCCAGATGAAAGACAAGATGTGACATTTCTACATTCATTAATATAAACTTTACAACACACCAGGTATGTCAGCTATGTCCTAGGAAGTTCTAAACTTCGATTTTTACCTATAGCATCTCTGCCAAACAGGAGATAAAGGCTGATACTACTACTTGTGATATTAGCAGATTCACTTGTACTCATGTCACTGTAACTCTGTTTTTCGAGTTACAGCCTCATCATATATTCAGTAATTAACTCCAAAACTCATCCAATGAAGTAATACTGCTACCAAGGCAGACCAGACTCTTTTCCTCAGAGAATAACTATCATCTAGAACAAATTAACATCACTTTCAGTCAGAAGAGTTTGCCCTGTTCTTAAAAAATCTAAATAAATCAAACCCACCTCCTGAAGTTATATACATTGTCAACTCAAAAATAAAAACAAATATTCATACTAAAGAGGCACAAGAAGCTCTACTGAACAAGTGCCATTAACTTTAGAAGCAGTTAAGATTTTTATGAGTCCTTACACTTTGAAAGGTGACTTTCCACATCTGAACTGCATTAACCAGTGCAGTCTGTCTGCATGCCTAAGAACAGACAACTTCAGTTTCTTTGCTGCTGTTCACAACTTTTTTACACTACTGCCTGACAAACTTACTGATCTCATTATAGTTTACAATTATGCCAATGCAAAACTCTGTATGCAAAGAAGCTATCAAGAATCAGAACATTTTTGTATCCCTTACTCTCTCACCAGGACACTGCAATGAAGACACTGCAGGACCCCTCCATTCCTATCATATCACTTTTAGGAAAAAAAAAAATAATCAGATCAGGAGTCACAAGAGGAACAACAACAAAAACCAATACAGTGTTTTTTTTTTTTATCAAAAATGGAGGAAATCTGAAAGTTACCTTATATACTGAAGACAGAAAAGCTGGATCCCTTCACAAAACAATTACCCCAGACTTCCTTTCCCCTTCTCAACTCACAGGAGTTTAAATACCTCCCTCTACTTCTCCCACCATAGGAGAATCAAGGGGTTCACACTGAACCCCTCCTCAGGAAAAAAAAAAACACCACAAAATCTCTTGCCTTCATTGAGCTCTCAGGTACACAGGAAAGTTTTCAAATCCTGTGCCAAATACCAGAGTGCTCATGAGCAGGCAAAAGAAAGAATTTGGCAACAGAACAGGGCATGCAAATAAACAAAGGAAAAAAATAACAAGTGTAGTTTAGGGGGGAACACAGGCATACAAAAACGAGCTGTGTACTATCACATACAATTGGAACAGGAAAAAGAGAAAAAGAAAACTTAACAACACAAAAATCTCTGCCATTTTAAATATACGATGCTACAGCTACTACACAGGGGAAAATACTCGTATGTTTTACTTTCTTTAAGCCAGTATGGGCCAAACACACATTCCGGTCATTCACATGAAATGTCACCCTTCCAAAGGTGTTCCACTGGGATTCCATACAGTTCTGTTAACATTTCAAGCATTAGAAACTAATACACATCACTAAGCAGTTTTAGGCATCGTTAACAATGTAATAAAACACACAACCATTCCATCTGCAAACTTTAAAACCAACACCTACTATAAAGAAACTTATAGTTTGTCTTACAGCTCATGAGAAAGAGCTCAACCAATCTTGAAGAAGGGACTTTAAACTATCTTTACAGATTGATTCTCAAACAGCAGTCTACCACTAACACAAACCCACACTTGCAGTTCACTGCAAACGCCTCTGGCCAGAGATCATAGATTTTTTGCTTCCATTAAAATCCATGCAACCATAAGACAACAGGCAAACACTGTATGTATTAGAGAGACGCTAACTGTAACACTCTGCACAGTTGTGCAGCACAGGCAATAAAAAAAAAAAAAAAACAAACGAAGGAAGGACAAGCGCAAACACACAAGCAACTTCTTAAGACACCACGGGCCTCCAGCATGGACAGAGTCGCACGACATTTAGCACTGACAGAACTTCTGCAGGGCTGCAGTTTCCACTTCAAAAAACACTGTGCGAGATCACCCGCGTCCCAGCAACAGGGGCGACGGGAGCAGAGAGAGTCCCTCCAGCAACGCCCCTCGAAGCGGGTAAGAAGCGCTCCCCTGCGCCTGGGGAGGCAGCAGGCCAACCGAGGAGCGCGGGGCAGAGTCCGAGACGGCCCCGGGCCGCCGGGGACACAGGC